TTGCTAGGGACTTGCCCGGCACTTGCTCTCTACCTCTATTTGTTATCTTTCTTCTATCATTGACAGTCCCTCTAGGTTGTGGGCTGCTTGCCTGTGTTCCTGAGAAGCATCTACGGTACCAGTCTATAGACTGTGTTTTCTTTAGTGAATTACCGGTATGTTTACCGGTAATAAACTTGCACTGTTTTATGTATATGTTTGATTACATACAGCCTTGTGACAGTTTTCCTGCATGTCATAAGCATTTGAATATAAATTAAAATGTTAAAATCAAATCTGATACTGTTTTACCTTTTATTTGGTGTGTGGAAGGTGTGCGGAAGAGGGGGTAGTCTTATACGGCGAGTATATAACAAACTCTGTATTTTGAGTGGAAATGTTAGGGGGTCGTCTTATACGCCCAGTCGTCTTATACGCCAGCAAATACAGTACATTATCTCAATCCTCATAAAATAATCTATGAGGTAAGTACTATTTCTTTCATATCTTAGAAAGATAAGTAACTTCCCCCAAATCACACACTTAAAAAGATTTGCACCCTTGCCGAAACCGGTTTGGCTCAGTGGGATAGAGCGTCGGCCTGCGGACTAGGGGGTCCCAGGTTCGATTCCGGTCAAGGGCATGTACCTCAGTTGCGGGCACGTCCCCGGTGGGAGATGTGCAGGAGGCGGCTGATCGATGTTTCTCTCCCATCGATGTTTCTAACTCTCTATCTCTCACTCCCTTCCTCTCTGTAAAAAATCAATAAAATATATTTTAAAAAAAAAAAGATTTGCACCCAACTTTTTGTCTCCAAAGCCTATATAAACCAAAATAAAGGCTGATCAGAAATTTTACAATCAGATTAATCATCTCCAAATATCAATCGCTGTACTGAAAAAAAGGTGGGGGGCAATTAGAAAGGAGAGGGGGAAGGCTTCTTGCCAGTCCTGACCCAACTGCATCCCTAACCTTAAGGAATGCTTTGTTCCTGAGGTCAAAGGACGCTCTGGAGCAGGGGTCCTCAAACTACAGCCCGCGGGCCACATGCAAATACAAATATTGTATTTGTTCCCGTCTTGTTTTTTTACTTCAAAATAAGATATGTGCGGTGTGCGTAGGAATTTGTTCATAGTTGTTTTTTTTTAAACTATAGTCTCGCCCTCCAACGGTCTGAGGGACAGTGAACTGGCCCCCTGTTTAAAAAGTTTGAGGACCCCTGCTCTGGAGAGTATAGTATAAAGCTTCAAAACGTCCTATATCTGAGGGACCTTAGGCAAGTTTTTACTTTGGAGGGCTCTAAGTTCCTTGTCTGAAAAATGGGGACGTACACTACACAGAATGGTACGAGAACGGGAGAATACATAAAAAGCGAGCAACACAGCCCCAGGCGAGGTCAGCTGCGCTGTCTGCAACGCGGGCCCTGCAGGTGTCAGCAGGCACTGGAGCGGGAACCAGGGAGGCGGGCCGCTGCGGTGAGGTTGGGAGAGTCTGACCATGTTCAGAAAGATCAGAAAAGACATTGCAGCCCAAGATGGTTTGGCTCAGTGGGTAGAGCGTTGATTGAAGGGTCCCAGGTTCGATTCCCGCCAAGGGCATATGCCTAGGTTGCAGGCTCGATCCCCAGTGCCGATCAATGATTCTCTCTCATCATTGATGTTTCTCTCTCTCCCCCACCCCCTCCTTCCTCTCTGAAAACAATTTTTAAAAAAAGAAGAAAGAAAAGAGACATTGCAGGTAATCCTAATCCTGATCCCCCGAGGGCTACGTAATAAGGCGGCGGAATGGTGGGCCAAGAGCCTAAAACGGAGCCCGCACAGAGGCTCCCAGTAACTGAAGGGCTAGTAAGGCCGTGGCCCTTCTGCAACTCCGAGGCCACTTACCCCACGGTCAGCTTCCGCCTCAGGCTCTGCATCCAGAACGCACCTGCAACAGCAACACAAGCCGTCAACTCAGACCCCCACCTCCTCTCCCTTCTACCGCCCCTTAACCACCAAAATCCTCACCCAGACGGTCCAATACTGCCGCCGCCATCTTGCTCCTCCCCTCTACGGAAGCCTCCGAGCTCAGTCAGCGTCTGGACAGGACGCATGCGCGATTCTCCGCTTTCCTTCCCCCCCCGCCCCCCGGGGAAAACCCGTCAGTACCTACACCCACGGTGTTGTCATGGAGACCACTAAGACGCTGCCAGCGCTGCCAGCGCTTAAGGCGTGGTCAGCCCAACCTTGCTAAGGAATGAATGACTTAACAAAGGCTGAAAAGTAGTCAGTTTCCGGAAATTCATCGGGATCCAGAAAAATTACGAAATCTCACCTCACAAATAGTCCGAAAGGATTAGGGGAGCAGAGACCTCGAACAAGCCACCTAACCTGGGTGGGCCTCAGGGTTCTAGCCAGTGAAATAGAATAATTATCCTTACAGCAGTTTTAAGAGCTCCACTGGAGATCACGTGGAAAGATATTTTATAAAACAAACAGTTCAAATATAAAGTAATGATGTCCTAATCCCTATTAATCTCCAGGTTGAACTACAAGAGATAAAAGTTAATTACCATCGGGCACTTGCTACTGTCTATGTCCAGCGAGCATTTCACTAAATCTCAGTATTCCTCAGAGCGATGCAACAAGGCATAGATCATTATTTTCCTTCTTCAAACGAAGAAAGAGGCTTAGGATAAGCTAAAGTCTTTTAGATAACAACTGGCAAAAACCTGTAGTCCATCTAAGGCGTTATGCCTCCGAAGTTAGTACCCCCTACCCATATCCAAAGACATGCGTTTTACCTCTATGTATTTAGATATCTCGGGTTTCGTTTGCTACATACGGGAGTGCCAGCTATCCAGTGCAAGCAATACCGGAGCAGGAGAGTGTAGCGCAGCAGTGTGAGCACCTGACCGTTTGCGTTGGAAGGAAACTTCCATTCTTTTCCTCCGCAGCACTTAGCACATACAGTTTCACGGAGCTGGCACTCAATCAAATGGAGTCACTCTACTCTTCTCCCTGAGTTACCAAGAACCCGGAGCCAGAATTTCCACCCAAGAGCACAAACTCTTTATTTTTATTTTTTTTGAGTTCTGATTGGAACTTTTATCTATTTGTTAGATATCTTTGGATAGATCCTTGTAGCTATCTTTCAACCTTTTCATCTCATGGTACACATAAACTAATTACTAAAATCGTGTGGCACACCAAAAACTGTATTTTTTTTTTTAAATTTGAGCAAAAAAAGGGGGGGGCATAATTTTGATTCATTCATACCGAGACGCTATTGTTGTGTTGGCTGTCCTTATTTTTTTATTTGACAATCTAAGGGAAACGGGGTCAATGCCCCTGACTAAATAGCCAGGTATTGCGTGTTTTAAAAATTCTTGCTGTCGCGGCACACCAGTGGAAAATCTCTGCTTTAAAAAGCATCGCCAGAGCTAGCGAAGTGCCCTCGCAGGGAGAGTTCAAAATTCCTTGGGGCGGCGTTAAACCGGCGGAGCGGGAAGATGACTCCACCGGTCTAACCCGTTAATTATGTACCTCGACTGTAGGAAGCGAGAAAGCCTAACCCCGGGTTTGTCCCAGTGGCTTCTTACCTCCTCCCCGGTGGCTCGTGATCATGGGCCAGGAGCCGCGCACGCTGCCTCCCTCCCCCAACTGGTACTGCGCCCGCTGCAGCGATGCGGTCCCCGGGGGCCTCTTCGGGTTCGCGGCGCGGACCTCCGTCTTCCTTGTCCGCGTGGGCCCGGGCGCAGGCGCGATCCCTGGGACGCCCCCATTTCGAGGTAACTCCCTGCTCCTGCCCCCACCTTTCCTGCACGTCTAGCGTTCCCTGGAGGCGCCGAGTATGCGCCTTCAGCCACCCCCTTCTACAGAAGGGGTAACTGAGGCCCCGGCAGGGAGAAGAGTCTGCTCACAGCCCCTAAACGGAGTCGCGTCCCGATCTCCAAGACTGAGCTACACTGCGCTGTGGATGAGCGGCCCCGCCTCCCGGCGCCCTCACGAGGGACTGCTCGCTTCCCCAGGAAGTTATCTCTGTCCAGACCCAGGAATTTTTAACATCTGTGGTCTCCCTCCCCTCCCCGACCCATTGCACGTGGATCCCTTAGGAGCCTTCTTGGGGTTGGGGTTGCCTTCAGCTCCAGGCCCTAAGCAAGATCCTACAAATATGATACTCATTTCTGTGAGATGAACGCATGGAGCCAGGTGCCGTTAGGCTCCAAACTAGGTCTTGATTATATCTTGGGATATGGCATGCCAGCTATTCTACTCCAAACGATCTCTGGCCAGATCTAAGTAAGAATCCCATTTCTTTAAAACTTTTTTTATTATTTTATTTTTAAATCCTCACCCAAGGACATTTTTTCCATTGATTTTTAGGGAGAGAGGAAGGGAGAGAGAAAGACAGAAACACCGATGTGAGATACATCGATTGGTTGCCTCCCACATGCCCCTGACCAAGGCCAGGAGCCTGCAACCAAGGTGCGTGCCCTTGACCAGAATCAAACCCAGGACCCTCCAGTCCACAGGCCAACGCTCTATCCACTGCACCAACCAGCTAGGGCTCCCATTCTTCATTTGGGCTGCTCCTCGGCCTGTGAACTAGGCACATCAGAGAATATCAACAGCCTTTTACAGTTGAGAGGACTGAGGCCCCAGGAAATAAAATGACTTGTCTACAGTCACGTGGCAGAGCCAGTACCCACACTTGGGAGTTTTTGACTGTGAGTCCCCGGATATTTTTGTTACATCATGGAACAAGTGAGATCCCACTCAGCATCTAACAACAGCCTGATTCAGCCAGAAATCTCAGGTAGCCCTTTAACCCGGAGTCTGGTTTTGCTTGAAGTCACAGGGGAGCTGGTGGGACACACTGAAAGAGTCTCCGGCTTCACGTTTTCTCATCACCCGGGTCAGTACAACCTTTGTGCCACCAGCTCTGACGATGGGACTGTGAAAATCTGGGACGTGGAGACAAAAGCAGTTGTGGCAGAACATGCACTCCATCAGGTACCACGGCTTTCTGGTTTCTCAGACTGTCACGTATCTGTGCCAAGCGTCCTTTTGTTTCAAGTATAGTTTTGCTAGCTCGTTTGTGCAAGTTAACTTTTACAGTTGTGTTCATAAAGTAAATAAGGAGCTCTGTGTTGTAAGAGACATTTTTGGAAGGCAAGACTTATAAACTGAAGGTCAGCAGACTACACTGCTGCCTGTATTTGCAAATTGTTTTACTGTAATACAGCCAGTCGTTCATTTGAGGATTGTTCACAGCTTCAGTATTGGCTGCCTGCATGCTACATTCGCAGCGTGGAATAGTTGCGTCAGAGAAAATGTGGCCCACAAAATCTAAAGTATTTACTGTCTGGTTAGGCTGCTGATATAAACTATAAATCAGTAAATGAAACTTGATTTACCTGTCTTTTGAGAGAATGTTGGAAAGGAACACAGTTAACTTACTCTTAGTAAGAACTCTGCATTAAGCTGTTAAAGACATTATTTCAAATGGTTCTTTGATCCTCAATAGCCTAAATTCTCCTACCATTTGGTTAGTATAGTCTTGCTACACAAGTGGTATTTATTAGGTACCTATAATGTGCCTCATACTGGTTAAAAACTAAGTGAAAATTCAGCATTGACAAGTGAGAAGCAAATATATTTGTTTTGTTTTAAAGCACACAATATCAGCATTGCATTGGTCTCCTCGGGTAAAGGACCTAATAGTATCTGGAGATGAAAAAGGCGTGGTTTTCTGTTACTGGCTTAACAGAAATGACAGCCAGCACCTCTTTGTAGAGCCCAGGACCATTTTCTGCCTTACTTGTTCACCTCATCATGAAGACTTAGTAGCCATTGGGTAAGTAGTGTTCTATCTGTATTGATCATTTATCTGTGCTTTTGCTCACATATTGCATTTGCTTTCCCCTCTCCTGTCCCTTTACTCCTCAAAGGAAACCATTTATAGGTGTTAACCACTTCCCCTGACCCCTTGGCGTCCTTTAGTCCTGTGACCTCCAGGTCCAACAATCTCTTCCACTCTCTGTTGTTAATTCCTCCGTTTCTAGGATAGCTTCCTTCCCTCATTCTTCACATCTTCACCTTGTTCTCTGTCTTTACTTGCCCTTGGATATAACATTTACTCCCAGAGAATCAAATGGCTCAGCTCTGTCTCTCTGGTTCTCAGCTCTCCCTCTAGGTTGGGAAAGTGACCTGGCATTGGGATCTGTCTCCTTATTGGTCACCAAGGTGGTTTTCCCACGAGCTGCCTGAGTGGGCTTCCCCTTCCCTCACCACTCTATCTAATTTCTCTCCCAAAGATGTCCATTCACTCTGATTTAAAGACTGGATAAGCACTAGAAAGTCTGACTGGAGAGGATTCAAGAGGCGGGGGAGGGGCGTATAAGGTAGTAAAGTCTACATGGAGACAACGTTGCCACAGTTTGTTTCCCAAAAATGTGCATAGACACGAAGCCAAGAGGTATCCAGGGGTCGAGGGAGTATTAGACAGAAGATAGCAAGGGCGTGCTTTTATGCTGATGAAAATGCAGCAGAAGTGGGAGAGCTTGTTACAAGGGTGAATCGTGATAAGACTTAGCCATTGGTAAGTACTGTTGTATCTGTATTGGTCACAAGTAGAAAGAGCAGCGGAGACAATGGAAATAGTGCGGGTAACTTTGTAGATCTGTTGGAAGGGGCGGGTGCTTCTTTCTGATGGCTTCTGATTTTCTCAGTGAGGCATAAGTCAGAAAGGAGATGGAGTCAAGTTCACGGTGGGGACGGGACTGGATGCAGGAAGAAGGTATGAAAAGTCATCTCAGAGAATAGGAAAATGAACTTACTGGGGGAAATTGTAGTCCCTGTTGAGTGCCAAGCTAAGGATCATGGTCATGACTTTAAACTATTCACACTGGTTAAGAAAGAAGATGGTTGAATTCAACCAGGTTTGAGGTTTTGTGGAGTAAATACCCCTGAGAGAGAGGGACAAGAAGATAAGGGTTTTTAAAGGAGTGAATAATAGTGAAAATGGAAGGAACCTGTGGATCGGCAGTCTCTGTGCAGTGGGGGGCACTAGAGAGGGAGCAGAAAGGGTGGTAGGCAGGGGTCAGAGAAGGTT